TATGTACTCTTGCTAATAATATCTATGGTTGGTGGTTTAGCCGCACGGGCACACCCACCATAAACTGTACCACGGCACCCACTCGCCATATGCACAAAGCGATTAAGCGTACATTTTCTGATTTTTAACAAGTTTATCTTCATTCTTAAAATTAATCATTATATATACCAATAATAATACCTATCTACATAATCACAGCATGAACAAAGACAGTAATTGTATAGATGAATGTGATCACACTAAGGCAAAGCACTACACAAGAATGTTTTAATGCTGTGCATTTACAGAGTTGGAAAGCTAGCATAAGTGGCAATGCCACATTGATTGGATTTTCCTTTGCTCATCATAATGTACCCAGCGGTTCCCCAATTTGGTCCCCAGCTGTTCTTCAAAAGCCAGTATTCTCTTCCACCATATTTTCCATAACCAATCAAAATCATAGCATGGCTTAAATTAGTACGTGAACAATTAGGCACATTAAGAACTCCATAATGATAAAACTAGGGTGACAGAGATTATAATGAAAATGATAAATTAATGTATTATACTTGAAAGGAGCTGTGACTAGCATCAATATAAACAGCAACAGGGCCAGCTGTAGCCAAAGCAGAAGCTAAAGATGTTTCATCTCCACTTGCAATTCTTATAATTCCAGTTGCGGTTGCACCAATACCATTAGACTTGAACTTGCAGCCATCTTGCTAAAGGTAAGATTATTTTTAAAATTGTGCAAAAATTTCTCCCTTACTTTTGAAACATAGGGATAAACATTTTCTGTGTCCAATCCACCATTGTCAATAACATACATAAAAGCATTATTTACATCACCGCAAGAGCAACCGTGGTTACCAAAAGGGACTATGTTATATGATTAAATGAAATTATAATTATTACCATAATTCTAACTTGAGCAATCAACAATGTTTTGAGCACTTAATGAAACCAGAGACCCCCTTGCAAGTGCTGCAGCACCTTCCAATGCAGCAGCTGCTGCAAATGCATACGAGCAGCCACATCGTAACTATAAAATATGATCATTCATAATATTATTAAGTATGACTGTTACAAGCTATTTTACACTGTATCTATTCAATAGAGTGTACAAAGTTTAAAATTCCTATGGCTGCATACCTGATCTTTTACCCAAGTTACTGCACCTCCTGTCCTCCAGTCAACAGTGTCAGGAAGGCTTGAAACACCAGAAGCTTTGTACTCACTAATTTTTATTCCTTTTTTCATGCTTAGTAACTTATCTGTAGCATTGTGGCGTTTATAGTCTTGAACACAGGTCATTAATTCACTAAACTCAGCATTTGTCTATTAATATAGGATCTCTATCTTACAATAAATTGTTGCAATTAACATACCAAATCTCCAAATTTGTTCATTTTTAAGGTGTAACCAAATGTTTCAGAGTATTTGTTATGTTCATCTATGTACTTCTTATTTGAAAGCCATACAATGTGACGACCTAGTTCTTCATGGTCACTTTCATAACTCTTCCCATGAGTTGCCTTCCAACTGTGCCACTCATGAGGTAAATCAAGCTTAGTAGCACAAGCTGACAGAATAAAACAGAAAGCACAAATAAGTCCAAAGATTCTCATTTTCTACAAATTAACTCAAAATTATCTACAAATGTAACATTCAAACCTTACCTTGCTTCTCACACAGCACTTGTGCCTACTGCTTCACTAACTTTAACTAAGACAGATCTGGCAGGCTCTACCTAAAATACTATGAGGTTTTTAAAAGAAACAGGTTTTGAATACAAGCTGATAACACTCTCTCATTCAAAGGTATAGTTCACACTTTACTGTCCATTTGATTGGCACATGTCATTGATTCAATAGGAGGACATGTCTTGATGAATAGCATATGGTGTCATCAGTTCCATCAATAGATATAGGATGTCCAACTTCTGCCAGTTATACTTCAATTTTTTAATTTGCTTATTTTACAAAAAGTAAGAAATTTCAAAAGATTAATTTTTATGATGCATCATGCACGTTATTTCTATAAGTTAGATAGAAGGAAATGTGGCATATGAGGCAATGCCACATTGGTTATACTTTCCACGTGAGAGCAAAGCATAGCCTCTTAGTCCCCAATTTTTACCCCAACTAAAATGACAATTAAAGCAACACATATGAAAGTTCCATAAAAGTTAGGCTATATACCTGTTTTTGACAAGCCAGTACTTTTGTCCATTGTTTGAACCATAGCCAATCAAGGTTAAAGCCTGGGTAACTTTGCTTGATGAACAATTAGGAATGTTAAGAATGCCACTTTTATAAAACTACAAGTAAATAAATTAAACAGCATTATGAAGTAATTCTATTTACTCGAAAAATATTATGACTTGCATCAACTACTACAGAAATTGGTCCTTGCATAGCAACTGCTGCTTCTAAATCTTTCTCATTTCCTTCTTCAACTTGCAGAAAGTATCGCATTTTTGCACCAATATTTTTTTGTTTAAAATGACATGCCTTTTGCTAGTAGTTAACAATTTTGTTCAAATAGTGCAAGGAAATATTAACAAATCTTTTATGCAAGAACTAACTTTGCCACGATAAGGATAACTCCTTTTTGTGTCAACTCCATTGTTATCAATGATATAATAGTAACTATATTCAACTGACCCTTTTTGACATCCTCGATTGCCATATACTCCTGTTTTGATATAGATATCATTTAACTAGAGCACTGAGGAATTTTACTTGAACAATCAATGATATTTTGAGCACTTAATTCAACCAGTTTCCCTGAAGCTAGAGCATGCACACCTTCCAATGTCCCTAATGCTCCAAAAGCATAGCTAGAACAACAATAGCCCTATTGAAAATGATGTCGAATCATAAATTTTGTTTAAATAAAATTAATCAATACCTGTGATTTCACAGACGAAACAGCACCCATACTTCTCCAATCAACACTTTGTGGAAGTGTCAAATTTTTAGACCTTTGATAAATTTTTCTAGTACAGTTGAATAACGGTCTGTATATTGGGGACAAAGCACACTGATAGTTGTTTCGGAATTCGTAATCAGACTAAAAGGAATAAAGATAACAGCTAATGTTATTACTTATTAACATATGACTTACTAAATCTCCATATTCATTCATGCTCAAGTTGAATCCCACAATATGTGCTATTTTATTATATGCATCAATGTACTCTTGATTACTCAACCATATTATATGCCTTTCAAGCTCCTCATGAAAAGAAGAATAAACTTTTTGGTTTTGTGTTTTCCAGATCACCCATTTAGCTGAAAAGAAATACTGATGGCACACAACACTAGCAGCAAGAAAAAGATGGATCACCAATATTTGTTTCATTTTGCAATTTAAGCCCAACACAGCGAAAGTACTAGACTCTGGCCAATTATAGCTCGGAATATCTTTAAATATACAAGATTTACAGGTGTTCATTGTGTTTAATGACACGATAAAGACACGATAAAGCAACTGTCAACCAATTTGAACCAAATACACTCTTGCTTAGCTGGAATAATTGAATGTATAATTTTTACGTCATGAGTGCAATTGTTACGTATAGCCGGTCTAAAATTTACTGCTTACGGATGTAGACAAACTCAGGATGTCTTCACCCACTTCGAAAAGGACTTCCTGGCTGAAAGAGAAGCTTTCGAGGCGAACTAGTGGCACTGCCATTAGTAATTCAACGATTGTGTCGAACAATAGTAGTGAAAAGGACAAGGTATTGACCGAAGTTAATTCTCTTAAGTTCGAGGACAGTAAGACTACTAGACGAATTGACGAGGGAAATTGTGGTGGGGATATCAGATTTTTGGTAACAAGGGAGGAAGATTGTGTTGGGCTGTATCAACACGAAATGGAATCTGATGATGTTGGTGGTCAAACTAGAACTACTAATAGAAAAAGTAGTGGAGGAGGAGTTGTGGGAAGAATGGGTGTTCTCGCATCACCTGTCTTAGGTGGACGTAGTTCAGTAAGATCTTCTGTAAAGCCAGATAAAAAATTCGTGGATTCGGCCGACAGGCCCATGTCCACTGGGGCGATAACTCATCGTAGTACAGGAAAGAAGAAGATGCTCTCTGTGGCACACAATAGTCGCACTCCTTCACCAGGACTAGAAAGAAATTCATCTCAAAGATCAAGCCAACGTCATAAATTAAAAGATAATTATAAATCTTCTTCGCCCAGTCCCCGTGACTCTTCTCCTGATCAAGGTGGTGCTTTTAGTAAAGTCCGAGACACTTTAAGAATACGTAAAGTGAAGAAAAAAACTAGTTCAAGTAAAGTTTCTGGGTACTCTGTACCAGCATTAGACCTCCCTAGTAGTAAATACTCAGATCCCTTTGAGCCTGACTTTAATGAGCCTGATGACAAGAATGAAAATGGTAATGGCCATGATTTCACTTTTGTAAATGTCCCACATTACCAACCTGAGTACTGTGATTATTGTCAGCAAGCAGCATGGGGACATCATCAAGTGCTTAAGTGCAGCAGTAAGTCATTACACTAAGGAATAAAGTACATGTACACTTGTTTGTAAACTAATTGTGAAATAGAGTGTTTAGCCTACTGTATATATAATAGACAAAGGATTTATTGTATCTTATAATTGTGTGCTTAGAGTGCGACTTCATATGCCATAAAAAGTGTGAAAGCAGAATATTTATGAAATGTAGTAGTAAAGTTGAGTCTGAAGCTCTCCTTCAGCAGGATCGAACAAAAGAGTCACTTGATGAATCGATGGAATTTAATTCTGAAAAAGTGAATAATTGTTATTTATAAATACATGCATCTACTTTTGGCTTCATAATTTACAGGAAACAAAAAGTATATCTGATGGCCTTATATCCTCAATAACCCAACCTCCTTCAGATAAGGCAATTTTGGCAAAGAAAATCAGAGAATACAATCGACGTACAACACCAGTGCATCATATTCACATCAAGCATGTAAGAATTATTGTTCATTAATCTCCAAGTAGTTATTACATGTTATTTCTCGGTATTGGGGTACATGTTTATTGTTATTGCAAGGACACTTTAAAATACCAAAATGTGTTCAATGGTATTTGACCATCTGTAACATATTTTACAGAGAGATGCTCTTATTGACTATCAAGCTTTTGTTCGAGTTCATATGTGTATTCAAAGGCCAATACATGTGTCTACTGGTGTAACGCGTACATCTTGGTACCGATTGATGAGACCAGTGAAGGAAAGAGCTATTGATTCAGGGATAGATGGTGGACTTGAAGTATCTTACCTTTAAACTAAAGTTTTGTCTGACCCTCTTTTCTTTCTAGACTGCATTTTATCTACCCACTGACACAAATAGATTAGTGCATATTAGTAATGTTACTACAACAAAGGATGTAAGATAACAGTTGTCACATTACCACTATTAATTGTTGTGTTTAGCTCATCACAACATTGTTGAAAAAGTTTTGTATTACTGACAATCCAAAAAAGTTTTCTCTGTATGAAGAGTATGGTAGTGACAGTAAGTGTATGCCGTGAATTTCTCATTACAATTTTTAATATTTTTCTAAATGATAAAAGGTCGCAGGTTGTTTGATGAAGACCATCCCCTTCAGGAAGTTTTAGAAGCTAGCATTGTGGGTCGTAATAGCAAACTGGCTCTACGTGATAATCTTTGCAGCACAATACAATGGGATGCTTTCAGTTTACCAGAATTGAATAATTTCATTACTATTCTTGGCAGAGAGGAGAGTTTATATGCTGACAAAGTACGTGTATGATGTTGTACTGATTATAATGTTTTCATCTTGTCTCTAGCTCAGAGAATGTTTTCTAATTTGGAAGAAAAATCTTCATGATGAACTGATTGACAAACGAGGTGCAGATCCTCACAGAAGCACTTCAGAGCCATCTAATCTTACTGATTCTACAATAAGTATGCTTGAGAGAAGTACCAGCGATCCAGCTAAGAATCATCCAATACCAACTGCTACACCAGTAAAACTGTAACATAATATCCTTGACATACATGCAATTGCTGGTATTACAATTTTTATGATGAAGTAGAATACTAATGAGACATCCAATTCATCTTTGTATTGTAGCTTGTATGATTTTATTTACCTATAAGTCTAATTTATTGTGTGTGAATAATTATACATAATTATTGAAATTTTCAAGTGATCTTAAAACCACAGATATACAAATGTGATACACATGTATAACAAATACATGCATGTACAATATGTCATGGTTTAGTAGGTGTCACCTGTGAAAGATAGAGGTTTATCTTATCATAACACTTAGTAGATCTACTTGTAACATGTAGATTGGCTGGAAATCCATTACCCAACATGGTTAATTGGTTATGTTAAAATCATGCACACAAATAAAAAAGTAACACAAAATTTAATAGTGTTAAGGAATCTTAAAGCAAAAATTGAAAATGAAAAAGTGGGATAACAAAATTAAGTAAAATGTTATTGTAAAAAGCCTGAAATTATAGCAATAAAAAATTTACTGAGTACTCAAATTTTGTTAGACTGTTTCTTTTTGCTTGGCAATACTAGAGCAATAAGTGCAACTACTATGAAAGGAATATATCTGTAATAACTAGAAAAAATAATTATTGATAATTAATTTATACGACTTGAAAAAAACAAACCTCCATAAAGTAACAACATTTTCCAATGTGAGCAACCAGAAAGTTAATATAACTAAATCTTTGCCAAAATTAGTAATTGCTATAGTTGCAATATCGTATAATATTTTAACAACACGAGGACTTTGAAAGCGATGCCATAATAGCAAACGGAGCTAAAAGGAATAAAAGGGTCTATATTAATTATTATTATATACATCAGTAGTCGAAATACAGGTAACAAACATTTCAATACTTACTAAACAAAAATGTAAAATACACAATTTCTGTTGATATTATCTAATGAGAAAAACCACAGTAGCATGCACTGCCATGCAAACATGAGGATGCCACTTGAAATATTGTATTATAGCTGGTAATTTTGGATTGGGAAATCTTGGCAAATTTCCAAATTTTTGTAATGAAGGAATTTAATTTAGCACATTTGTGGTCTAGACTATGTACATCTACATACTTGTATAACATGTATACATACATGCATTTGATACATAATAGGGGTGGCTATCAAATACCTTAGGGTGGGTATTAAATGCGCTCTTAAATTTTAGCATTTTCAAGAAGACCCTGATTTAGTGAAATATAATATTAGCAAAAATAGGAAGAAAATCAATGGCGAAACTCCCATTTAAAAGCATAACACAACTCAAGAAGCCCCAATGTATCCATTTTAAGAGCAGAACACTCAAAAGGATCACCCTATCTACTGTTATCTTGTTACAGATCTTGCCTATCTTGTGTACTTGTTTACACAAATACATAATAACTATTATTAGCAGCTGGTTTGAATTAGCCATTTCAAATACACTCACTAAAAACGCTAAAATTAGTGTCGCAATTAATACCCACCCTAAGGTAGTCAATACAAAATACCATACCTTTCTGGCTGTTTCTGTCACCAAAGCAACAAAGATAAATGACACATAGTATCCAGGATAAAACCCATGCCATATAGCAGATACAAGACATGTCAGAAGAACAGGATTCCATTGATAACGTTCATAAACAATTCTGTTATTACGAAAAAATAATACATAAAACTTAATACAACAGCGGCTAAAAAGTCCAAATTTAATACTATTTTATTAGTTCAACAATCAGTCACTTCATCTTTATAATTAATACTTGCATGCTGATACACATAATGCAATCTTTGGATAAAAATTTGCCATACCAAGTATTGATAACTATTTTAGCAAATACAGAAATGAGCAAAAAAGCAATTACAAAAATGAGCAAAAAAGCAATTACAAAAATGAGCAAAAATTTTTAGGCAACAAAAATTTCCTGTGTAGATGTATATATTGAACCTGTAAAAATACATGTACAATTGTACTTTCGAAGGCTCAGTCCACACATGTACTGTACATGTACAAATAGATCATGATAATAAAAGTTAGTGTTCACTAAAATACAGATACAGAGCATACCAAATCAGAACAATAAACAGGTATCATTACATTGATATAAAATAGTTTGTTAACAGCATTTCTGTAAAAAGCCAGAAAGCACAAAGTGCATTTAGCTAAAAGATAGGGCAAAACAAGAAGACACAATTTTGGAAATACGTAAAGCTTGCATGATTGTACAAGTACAAGTATTTCAAAAACCAAACTCTATAAATGCCTGTACATTAATCAGCAACACATGTACAGTAGCTCTCTGAAAAATGCGTCTCAATAATAACATAACTAAAGACACCTTTTACGTTTACATATTACGTAAGAAATTTCATACCTTTTGAGCCAAGTTTGAGTAAAAATATTCCATGCTAAAGTTTGCTCTCGAATATTTTTTCCAAATTCAAACTTAAGGACATCAACACATCTCACTAAGTCCCACTTTGCAACTCCATCCTTGCTATAGCCAGAAAAACCTAAACCTCCTGTATTGCTAATACTTTCAACTATAAAAGATAAAGAACATATGTGTATATGTACATGTATAAAGATAAGTAATCATTCATACCCAATAAATGACTGAAATAATACTGACACCTCAGTACAAAGCAGTACATAGTAACATTAATAAATCTTCTAGGAAAACTTAGATTTGGACCTGCGACATAAAACAAAGAATGTCATATACATTGTAAATAACTGAACTCAAAGTAATTAAACTAATTACAGATATCTGTCATAAAATTAGAACGTCAGGGTCATGTACATGTAGTCAATATTTCTGCCACTTACAAAAAATGCATGCAGAGCAAAAAAATTATTGAATAGAAATCAATAGTTTTTTTACAGCTTGTGATTAACTGCATAATGTACATTAAATTCTCGCTGTTTTGCTAAATAATCTATGTAGCATTTCTTCTTGTCTCTTTTTCATAAACATGTACATATATACAATGTACATGTATGTATACACATACAAGTGCATGTACATGTACATTAGCTTTCCGACATGTACCTTTTTCTGCCAAACATACATGTACATGCATTAAAATCAGATGTAAACATGTTGGACCAAGATTAATTAGGTTGGTCAAAATATGTACACATAATGCATTACTGTTCATGTAATTTGAACTACACGTAGCTACATGTAAAACTGACCTAATACCCTAGCATTGTCCATCTTGTCTTCATTTAATAATAAAATGGATAAACAAAACAAAGCTCCTGCTAGTTTTTTGCCTGCTGGAATCAATGGACTGGGATCTCCTTTAACCTACATGTTGTAAAAGCACAAAAACTGCTTCAATCAAGCCTCCAATAATACATGTACATGTATTTACAGTTTAGTAGTACACATTGCATAAATGAAATCAATACACATCATGACAGGCAACACCATGGATAGTATACATGTGTAAATACAAAAGAACAGTAACTATACGTACATGTGCATGTAAATTTCATCAGCCAAAAATAATTTATGCAAAAAAATAATGAAAGTTTTCAGGATACACATATACATGTACATGTACATGTATGCATGAATAGACAACAATACATGTCCATATATTATATAGCTACTGATATTAATAGTTTCAGCCTAACCGGTCCAGAATAAAAGTTCCCAGGATACACATATACATGCATGTATAGACAACAATACATGTACACGTACATACAATGTATATTATATAGCTACTGATATTAATAGTTTCAGCCTAGCCAGTCCAGCATAGTGTATGACTTTAACTCTATCTTTCTATCTTCTTCCCTTCTTATATATACATGTACGTGTTTCACATATTATTATTTGTTGTGCATGTACATACATGTATTACTACATATTTTTTATGCTTTTATCCAACATGTATTATGCCGTTTTAGTTTGTTTTATTGTTTATACATGTTCACTGTAAAAAAATCATTTGCTGTAGTAACTCAAGTCTAGAAGAGTCACTCAAAGTCAGTTAGTGCATTAAGTTTTCAACAGAATGACATTGCTATGAACATGTCAAGCTAAAAAAGCAGCAATGTAAATATCTTCAAAGGCACATTAGTTGATCATAAAACAGTGCAGTTTCAACAAGTGGTGCCAGCAATAGACTATGTACAGTAATAAAAATTGTACCTTCAATTACTGATGTACATGAAAGTTTCACATGTACGTGTACTGTAGTACTAACCTTGTCTTTATTTGAGATTTGCATATTTCTCCCAGTAATAAAATCATCATACTCTTTGTACGTTGAAGTGGGACCAGCCAAAATTGTCAAAAAACTAAAGTTGTAGCTAAAATACTCCAACAAAGATGGCAGTTCACTAATAATGAAATTAAAATGGTAGGAATAAAACTATATAGTTATGAATAATGTACATGTACATGTACCTAATTTTTTGCCTTTCTTGATCACTACTTAATTTACTATTAGAGGCACCTAAATTGAACACTAATACAAGAACAAATCAATAATAATATTTACCATCATGATAAGCATAGGCCACATATGATATTCTTTGAACAAGTAGCATAAGAGGTCTATAATGTAGAAAAAATGCATGTTAAACATCATATGCATTACAAATGGAGTATTACATACATGCATGTACATGTACATGTATTTACGTGTATGCATGTACATGTACATGTATTTACGTGTATGCATGATATTACAAATTGTCACAAAACTTTGTAAATGTCATACCTACAGTATAGTAAACATACAGGCACACAATACACATAAATTGATTATTTCAAATTATTGCACAAGCACAGAATTGACAGGGGTAAATTTATTTGGGGCGAGCCTGAGCAGGCGAGAAAAGTCTGTTTGTCTGAATGGGTCGTCTAACTATTATTAAAGATAAACAGCCTAATTTTCATTGAAAGCGGGTATGGTCACGATGAATAAAATGGCAGTTAGCAACAATTCTGAGCTTATTTGCAACACACGGTCAGCAAGACAATTAGACTAAACTGCTGTTCAAAGACTTCCCCAGCAGCAAGAAAGGTTTGGACAGCAGATATACAACCTTTTCTTTGATAGAAAGAACTCTGATAAGCTGAATGCTGCAATGAGAAAGCTGCATGCAATTCTGCTGTGCTGTGACTGCCATCTCTAGCAGCAAGGAAGGTTAACAAAACAGAAGTACTGCTTGTAACAGATCTTTAATGCTTGCTATAACCAATTCAGTGCTGCAGAGATTTTATATGTGATCAAATGACTGATAAAATGATGGACAAAAGTTTCACTATTTGCATGGACAATTGCATACAACTGCTTTGCTTGCTTGTAAATAATACACTATGGCTTGCTTAGGCTCACCCCATTAATGTTTTACATTCGCCTAGTAGCTACAATACAATCAGGAAATTAATCTATACAACACTGAACACCCCATATCCCAGCATTGATAAGAATGCATGTCACCAGCTGGCTATCATCAAAAACTTAATTTCACTTCAAAATTATATTATATGGCCCTACTTCACCAGACATGTACCTGCATGTTACAAACAAACAATACAATGTCATACACTACTAACACTAAGATTGATCATCCCAATTGATAGTAGAAACCTAAATCTGACAATCCTTTGCTACTACTGAGTACGTGTAACAGTGGATTGATTAATCAATCTCCTTTGCATATACATGTACATGTACATTACAATAAACAATGGCCACTAAAAAGCTCAAAGTCAGAACATGCTCCTGTATGAAGATACATGTGTACATTTACACTGTACTTTGGGCTAAAGCAAAATATTACTTTTACCTACTACAGATACGTCTGATATGATGAAAACATATCATGAGCAATTTATTCCTCTCAGGTTACAAAAAATTGCCACTACAGCATGATCTTTATCTACATGTACACGTATATGTACATTTATACTCCTCAATACTAAAATCCAATTTGGCTAAGAACAAGAATTCTCTAAGACTTTAATAAAACCTTCCCAGCCAATATTCACATAATAACATGTATTCCAAAATTTAAAACTTACACAGAGAAATCTAATGTGTAGTTGCCATAATCAATTAACATTCTGTACACATGTCCAACACTAACTCCAGTTAGAACATACCAAAGCGTGAATCTAAAAAGGTGGAAATAGTAACTGGTCAATTCTCATTTCAAAGTTTCCACAATAGAAGTGGATGGTTATTTACTATTACTATTTTCACAACTGTATCTAGAATAATGTAGTTATACACTGTATTCACAAAAGACAAACATTATTTTTCATTTTTATTCACACTTTTGTAAATATGTCATCAAAACTTTCAAACATAAGTACATAATCCTCTTGTCCATCTAAAAGCCATTTTACATTGTACTTAAAATAAATTTTAGTATCTCACAAAGAATTATTTACAATTTTCATGGTTTAGTAGCACTACTTTGTACAATTTACATGTACATGTACTGTATATCCCCAAATAAAAGCCCAGTACAACATAATAGAAGTATAGATGAAAGTCTAGACATAAAACGTTATCTGTGCCTCAAAAAATTTTGCTATGGTCAAAATCACTGCAAGAGAAGCTTGTTGCTACATGTATTTTAACAACTGATCTAGCTGACAAAGTGACAGCTTCATTATTAAAATTAAACCAGTTGTTAGCCTATCAATGCACCTGTACAACACACCGACACAGCTTCAACATACATGCATGTAACTAACTAGTAATAACAAATAAGGAACTTACGTGTGTACTCTATGACTTGGCACTGTAAGAAGTAGAATATATCCCACAGAAACAAATGCCAGTAAATAGAAAACTTGCCTAACAAGAATAACGGAAAAATATTATTTTAGAGCACGAAATTTCTCAGGGCTGTAAATTCATGGGTTTCTTGAATCATTGAAGATTCACAAAATTAATTTATGACCATACAAGATGGCCGACAGCTAAACTTCACAAAAACTAAATAGCTTTTAAAAGTCAATTAAAGAAATTTACAGCCCTTGAATATTTTGCACTATATATACAGCATATAAAAATTGAACTTACCATTGAAAACAAAGCCAACAGTACAAAATACCAAACATAATACAGAAAAGATGCCTGATAACACTGCTAGTATATTTGTAGTTGAGAAAAATGCGAAGTACCAGAGCAAGAGGAAATGATGTAAAGTACAGACATCCATAACGTACCTGGAAAAAGCACAAGGAATGAAATTTATTTACATTTAATACATACATACCTTGTCCATAGGTAAACCAAGATAAAGTGAGAGTTGTCCAAACAGAGTTTCCATTACCATCATATTTCACTGACTATTGTACTGATCTAAAACTATAACACTCCTCTGAGTTGAGTGAGTTCTGATATTAACGGTTTCCCTTCTAGTCCCACTGCACCTAGTGAAACTACACACAAATCAGTGAAATGATAGGTGAAATCATAGATGGTGATCACACCACATACCACATGCATTACACGATCAAGCTCAGCAAAATTGCCAAGCCGCACCCATTACTTATCCATTAAGGTGTGGTTTTAGGTGTGGTTTTACCTCAAGTTGGTGTGGCTACTAGAGGGAAAGATGTTCAGTCGTTCTTTTGTGAGAGGTAACTTTCTTAGAGTACCCCCTAGATTCAGAAAAGCATACTGTAATGGAGGGAACTTAAAGGTATTATTATGATCAGTAAGCTTACATTTTAATTGAAATTTGTATTTTGTGCTAGACATTTGACAAGATCCTGATTGCAAATCGTGGAGAAATAGCATGCAGAGTACATAATTAATTGAAGGCTGTTAAAGCAAATGTGTATATAATGGTTTTTAGGTAATAAGAACTTGTAAAGAAATGGGAATTTCATGTGTTTCAGTTTTTAGTGATGCCGATGCACAAGCAGTAAGATTTCTTTTTGTACAGTCACAATTATGGCTTTGTAATATTTATAGTTGCATGTGAGAATGGCCGATGAAGCTGTTCACATTGGACCTTCAGTTGCTACTCAAAGTTACCTTAATGTGGATGCAATTCTAGATGCTATTTCATTAACAGGGGCCCAAGCAGTAAGTGTTCTATATGGTTCACTACCACTAATGTCATTTTATAATGACAATAGCTAAGAAAGAAAATGGCAACCTGAATTTGTCATTATATTGAATAGAGTTGCATTAAAACTTTCATTATGATAGTCACAAACCTTTACTTAATGAATGCTTTTGTCTAATGTGAGCAAAGTTTGGCCATACTAATTAATCCTGCTTAAAACTTGATATCTATTTCATTTATTCAAATTATCTGTAGGTCCCAGGACAAAAACATGCTGATTAGTGATTACATGTAGTTTAGTCTTTATTGTTAATACTTAATGGTATTGATGAAATGTGCTATATGACAAAAAAGCAAGTGTAACGAGAATTATTATGTATTTATTAATAATTTTGATTAGTACAAGCACTTTTTCTGCTATAATTTCATGTAACAAAAAATGTTGGAAACTACATGTAATCCTTCAACTATTACCAGCATACTGTTAATTTTTAATCAAAATTGTGGGCAATTTAATTTTCAATTGATGCATTACACTATAGTTGAACCAAATTTAACTCCAGCATCAACATAACATTAGGACTAGGGTAATATTTTCTGAACATTTATTTTACATATAATTAATTTAGGTGCATCCTGGGTATGGATTTTTATCAGAAAATAAAGAGTTTGCAAAGGAACTTGCCAAGCGTGGTGTTGTTTTCATTGGACCTAATGCACATGCAATACATGTAATGGGAGACAAATTGGAAAGTAAAAGAACTGCCACAGAGGCTGGTGTTAACATTGTACCTGGATATGATGGGATTGTTCAGGTTTGTGTTTGCTACATATTGATGCTTTTATTTAACTGCATTTAAATGACACAATAGGATAGCACTGAAGCTGTTAAATTAGCAAAAGAAATAGGTAATGTAAGCATGAAAGTGGGGATTAATAGTATATTCCTTTAAGGATACCCTGTGATGCTTAAAGCATCTGCTGGGGGTGGTGGAAAAGGAATGAGGATAGCATGGGATGAGAAAGATGTCATTGATGGATTTCATTTAGCCACTGAAGAAGCTAAAACAGCTGTCAATGATGATAGGATGTTAATTGAGAAGTTTATTGAAAAGCCTAGGCATATTGAAGTACAGGTAAGTCATTGATGTAATTTTATTTGAACTTGATAAATTTGTTGTAATTCATTATAGGTTTTGGGAGATGAACATGGCAATGTGGTTGGTACATAATATTTCACTTTTTGTACATAGTTACATTTTCAGGTTTATTTGAATGAAAGAGAGTGTTCAATTCAAAGGAGAAACCAGAAAGTAATTGAAGAAGCTCCTAGGTGAATCTACTTTGAAGCTAGCTTTTATACATGTACGGTGTATATCAAAATAATGACTTTGTGTTAAATTTTTAGTACATTTATTGATCCTGTTACTCGGCAATCAATGGGTCAGCAAGCAGTGGCTTTAGCTAAATCAGTTCAGTATAACTCTGCAGGTATTGTTAATTTTAGTGTTATAGTTTTGTGAAAAACTTGTGGTAATAGGGACAGTGGAGTTTTTAGTTGATCCACAAAAGAATTTCTATTTTTTGGAAATGAATACAAGGCTTCAGGTAGAGCACCCTATAACGGAATGCATCACAGGAGTAGATTTAGTAAAAGAAATGATACTATCTGCTGCTGGTATATAAAGCTAATATTATATATATATGTATTTATTCAGCATTAATGACAGGTCACAAGTTGTCTTTTACACAAGATGATATTGGTATTAATGGCTGGGCAGTTGAGGCAAGAATTTATGCTGAAGATCCAGTAAGGTTTCTTCCATCAGTTGGATACTTGTCGAAGTATATTGAGCCATCCCAAGCTGCAAATGAAATGGTCAGTGAGATAATGATTCTCTATAGGTATAAGTGTAGCATGTGTAATAGATTCGAGTTGACACAGGAATTGAAGAAGGTAGTACTATCAGTATGTTCTATGATCCCATGATTTCAAAAGTATGAATATTGACATTACTGGGAATATGTGATCCAAGATCTTTATTGTGACAGTTAGTTACACATGGAAAAGATCGATCAACTGCCCTTACAACATTAGCTAAGGCATTAGATAATTATTGCATTAAAGGTGTTGATTTTTATTGTTGACAATAATGAACTTTTTATACTTATATGCTAGGTGTAACTCATAATATACCAGTAGTAAGAGATATTATTAGTCACCCAGACTTTATCTCAGGTGATATAAGTACTAATTTCATTCAAGAAGTATATCCAAATGGTTTTCAAGGTACATGCATGTACTATGGATCAAAATGCATTTACATTGATAATTACTTTGATAGGACGTAAATTGGATGAAAGAGGTACTGAAATTTTGATTGCAGCTGCCAGCTTTATTCACATTAAACGAACTAATGCTGCCCCAGCATTTTGTAATCAAAACAGGTTAGTATATAAAATATATATGCTTCATTTTCTAACTGAACAGGCAAATGAAGTCAGCAAAAGATGATGGTAGCAAGCATATATTGTTCCTGTTAATCGGTGGAGACTCTTACAAAGTAGAAATAGAGGAAAATCATGATACCTTCTTTGCTAATATTAATGGAAAGCAAATAAAAATATTGTCAGAGTGGCAACTAGGTAATGCTATTGTGAATCTTAGCGTAGATGATGTTAAAGAAACAATCCATGTAAGTATTCAAATACATACATGTTCAGTGTGCATGTACTTTGCTTTGATCAGTTTGAGGATAGAAAGGGACAGACAATGGACCTAAGGCTCTATGGTGATAAGGTATAGATGCTTGTTATCTATATGATTTAATTGATTTGACAGTACTCTGTACAAGTTTTAAATAGTAAACAAGCAAGCATGAATGAACATGTTCCACAGAAGTCAAAGGTGAATTAGGACATTGACATAATGACTTAATTGCATTAATGTCACTGATTTCTACAATAGGATAGTTTGGCTCATATACTGAAAGCTCCTATGCCAGGAATTGTGAAATCCATTGTCTGCAAGGAAGGAGATGAAGTATGTGTATATCATGCACTGAAAATTAATTTTACTAATTTCAATGAAACATGTACAATGTACATGTAGGTTGAGAAGGGTGTTGCAATTGTAACTCTGGAGGCCATGAAAATGCAAAACCCACTCTTTGCACCATTAACTGGAAAGGTACATGCACACTGCCTATGACTGTTTTGAGTAATAATTAACAATTAAATGTACATTTATATTATACCATTTTTATAATATTTGATAGGTCAAGACTATATATGTAAAAGAAGGGGACAGTATTGCCGAGGATGACTTAATCTTAGAGCTTCAAGTGTGACTTTTGAAATTAATAATGCAACACTATTTATAATAATACTAATTTCACTACCTACGTGTAGATCAAAATCATAAAGCAAATAAAAATGAACTTTAAACTGTATCATGATACTGAATTTAACAAAAAGTTACTTCATTGTAACAAGTTCCTCTGCACTAGTAGGATGAATCGCAACACAATTGTCAAAATCATCCTACATGTAAATATATTATAAACACATGTACATTGTCTATTAAAGTCAGTTTTTACCTTTGTTGCACCCATTTTAATTGCAACTCCAAAGCCTTGCAGCATTTCATCAGAACCCATGCCAATGATATGAAGTCCAACAATCTGTAATGGCACAAAAAAAGCCACTTACAATCTTACAAACACATAATGCTGGCAGCTACATGTACAGTATATGTAAAACAATGCATATACATGTACATGTAGACATATCATAAATCAAAGCACTTACTTTCTCATCAGGAAGCACACATATCAGTTTCATGTGGCATTTGACTTTTCGGCTTGTTAGGGCATAATATAATGGAGTAAAAGTTGATGTATATATCTTCAATTTTTCATTTCCAAATTCTTTTATGGCTTCAGCTAAAAATCAAACATTGACACATGACGATACTTATTAGTGTTCAGAAACCTTCAGTGAGTCCAATCGTTCCAATAGGAGGATGACTGAACACAACAGTTGGGATATTCTCATAATCCAATTTTACATCCTCAGCATTAAATAACCTTCGAGACAGTTTTCTCCCAGCTGCAATTGCAACTGCAAACAGCCAAAATAATGTATGTGACAACAAAGCATACCTGGAGTTAACAGTTTTTTGCCAGCAACATCTCCAAGAGCATAAATGAAAGGAACATTAGTATTTTGATATTCATCAACAACAATAAAGCCAGATTTGTCCTGTTCAATCCCCTATTATGCAACATTAAGGTGCACATAGGTAACATTATATACCAAGAGTACAATGTAATACTAATCTTGAAACATTAAGTTTCATAACATTTATTAATTCTTCTGCATCTTTATAAACTATCAATGCACTTTGATCCAATTCCAAACTGAGCATATTCAATTAAAGGACACCATCTTTAATGGGTATCGACATCAGAAGATCAAGTATGAAAATTTTCAATGTGCATTTATAGGCATTGAGTGTACATGTGCATGGCTCTATTAACTGTGTAAATTGTCTTAATTAATTCAGCATAAACATAATAAAGATTAATTCATTTTAGCTATTACAAAGTTGTCATTACCACTACAATACTTACAGCTTTTTCCAATTGAAGATCATTAACATTGGCATCTCTACCAACAGCCCAAAGCAGACAGTCAACATTTGATAAACTCTTGACTTCACCTTCTCCATCAAATGGACTAACTGAAACTTCAAGAAGTTTATCTGGCTGTTGAGCAACACTAGTAATCTAAAAAAACATTAGGAAAATACAGTTCAATAATAACTAACCTTAGAATGGGGTATAATATTAATACCAGAATGTTTCATTTCATCAATGAGAGCATCTGATAACATATCATCAAAAGAACGCAATATCTATAGCAGGAATTAATAACATATGATAAATATTTTTTCAATACTTTTCCTCTACGAATGACTAATGACACTTCTGAACCAAGAGCTCTTAAAATACCAGCCATCTCAACTGCTATGTACCCACTTCCAGAAACTACAACTTTCCTATATAGAAGTATAATGCATGTTATAGTATAGTTAGATTACTTCGGTAGTTCTTCCAATTCAAAGAAACCATCACTAGTAATCCCCAATTTAGCTCCTTCGATGCATGTACATGAAAAGCATGTAATAAATGTAATTATAATTTACCAGGTACATCAGGAATAATTGGTTTTGTTCCAGTAGCAACTAGTATATGCTTGGCAGTTAGTGTAACATCATTAACAAGGACTTCATTGGGACTGACAAATTTTGCATGTCCAAGAAAAAGCTCAACATTAGCCTAATACATATACATGTATAACATAAATTCATTGTTAGATCTAGAAATAAATTGTGGGAGATCAATCTAACTAATTTGTGCAACTTAAAGAGATTTAGGCAAAATATGAGAGACCAAAAGTCAAAAATGAAAAATTTCAGGAGACCTAGACAAAACATGGAACATCAAAAGACTCCGAAACTTTCTCTAGATCTAACAGTGATAATCTGTTCAGGTAAATATACATGTACATGTATGTGCATGCAGGTACTTTTTCTAAACCAGATTCATATATCTTGTTCAATCGTTTGATATAAGAATCCCTCTCTTTTTTAACTTTTCTGTTTAAAAATGAATAATATTTGCAAAACATTACGCATTATTAATGAAAAAGTTAGTGTTTTACTCACGGCCAATTAAATATTTTATCATCGGCAGAAATATCAAAACCATAAGACTGATGATCATGAAGAGATTCAGCATGAGAAGCTGCATAAAACATAACCTGTTTAACCTAAAATATACATTCTACAACAAAAAGCATCATACCTTTTTAGGAACACAGCCCACATTGACCTAAAAACAAGCATAAAACACAAAACAAGTTGTAATCACACATTAAAATTTAATAAGAAAAACATAGCTTAGATATATTAGAAAAATATAAAACCAACACACTGTGAGGTCTCAAAAACAATTAATACACAAAAAATACCACATATATTTAACAAAAAAAAAGTTGCATTTACCTTCTATTAATTGTGTGCATATAATTAACAAAAACTAAAATGATAAATAGCACATTGGGAAACTTCACAAGCATTCATAAATAAAATTGAAATGGTCAAACAAATGATCCACAGCTACAATGTACATGTAAATAACTGGTATATACAGTAATCAACTACTCTTGGTTGAGTGTACTCTTACAAATGCCCAAACTGATGATATAAGGTGCAGCTAAAAGAGTGTGCTGGCTTCCATTAAAAATGGCCATACACATGATATTTCGTGTATACCATTTAGTCCCTAAAAGTTTTAACAATGCACACATGTATACTTTTTTGACAAAATGCTGGTTCATCAGTCATGATTATAAACCACACCCGAGTCAATAAACACTAACTAGTCTAAACTAGAATGGGTGGAGAGTCCCAAGACACAATATTTCTAGAAAGAACTAGCTAAAGTAGCTTCAAAGAGACCAAGAATTAGTAACAGCAAGAAGAATAACAACTCAGGAACACTGTAGCCTGGTGCTGTGCTTGAATACTGTGCCATTTTCAATTAAAATAGCATCCGGTTGCTATGGCAATTGTTAGCAGTGGAAGAATTTGCAAATATTAGCAGTCGCAAATATTAATCGTCCTACAGTAGTAAAATAAAATGCTTTTATTTTTCTTAAGATATGCTATAAAATATTAAAAATATTCTGTCCCTGCTGTTTGTTGTAAGGTTGAGCAATACTAATTTTGCTTCAGTTTTTGCCACCTCAAGAGCAAAAGCCAACAATCTATAACAGCAAAACAAAACTTTGAGTGAAAAAGCAATTAAGGCAACTAAACTTTGGCTAGCATTATACATGCATGCAGTCACACACTCACTGGTCAACAAGGAAATTCATACATGTACACTGTGCATCCTTGCCTACACACCAAGGGTAATACGTGAACACAAAAAATGAGCCAGCACAACCCAACAAGATATAAGGCACTTTAACCAATTGGGAAATGAGAATCTAATTTTACAGACACATGTAATTACATGTACACGTACAGTACTCGGTATAAATATTTCTATAAGGAAATAATTGTTTTACAGCTTGCATTTCATTTTAGCATTTTGACATAATCTGACTAAACATGAGTTTGAGCTGGCCACATAATTACACAATGTAGTTATCATACATGTACAAGTTCTATTTATTGTATCAAAATTGCCACATGTATAGTTTCTTAGTTGGCCATCACTTAAACTTAGGTTACTCTTTTGGCAGCTACAATGTACCTACAATTCCATACATAAAAGAGTACATAATATCTATGTAATCTTGATACATGCAAAGCTGACATAAACATGCTAACACCATCATTACAACACAAAAATTAAAAACTTTCTATGCCCAGAAAGGTGCAAAATTTTCTGTAGATCTGTCACAAAAAAACCAAATGTTCATAAAATGACAGAACAATTGCCTAATATTGCATATACATGTCCAATAAATCAGAGAGATAGTAATTTTCATAAGGCAAAGAGACATACTAAATTTAAAATTTCTAATTATTCCTCTCACGTATGAATCAAGCATGCACAAATTTAAAATGTCTAAATATTCCATTTTATAATTATTTTAAAACCACTAAAAATAACCTGATTTATGATACGTCCATAGTTTTCATTTCTATGATGCAATGTGATACTTATGATTATCTACCAGCTCAGACATAGATGTACTGTGCACGTATGATATTTATATTAATGATACTGACTCATATGCTATTAACAAAAACTTCAAATTTCATTTTGGCTGCCATTGTGGAGGCATAATATTTTAAGTAAAGTAGAAAAATAAATTAAACAGATTATCAGCCTATCAATCCATCAGTAAGGCATAGCAAACAACATCCGCCAGAGAGTGTGGTCTGGCTATAGGCATACAATACTAATAAAGAAGCTAGTCTCATGAGCTACATGTATACCAAGAGTGGATAAGGAGGAGGGGAGAGTGTCTAACTGCCCTATGCTGCTAGTGATATGTGCGCGTAGAAGTTTTATGGTTATTATTTGTACATTCCCGCATACCTTATTTAGCACAATAAGTGATAACTGCACTGAAGCCATAGTTGGGCGTGTACTTAAGTTAACTGTAATATAAAAATGGCTGCTGAACTGAGCAGCAAGAGCCTTGACCAGAGACCTTGGAAGCAGAATTTGACCTCACCTTGTTGTACCAGTCACTTTGTACCATTCTGAAGAGATTTGTAGTTTCCAAGCACACAAACCATGTTTGTTATTGACACATGAAAAGCTCTTGATCAATGATCATCCTCCTTTAGTCTGGTCCCTTGGGACCCACATCAAGAGTAAAGATAATAATAGAAGTGAAAGAATATGTGGTACATGTACTTTTGAGACGGGCTGTTAACTGCTGTTGATCTTAAAAACGAAGTATTACAGATCTGAGTTCACTGGAGCAGAGGCTTCTGACTCTTGGCTCCATGTCCTCTTTCTTGATGCTTTAGGGCGCTTAGGTGTAGTGGCATGGCGCTCATCAAGATTAGATGCTCTCAATCTGGATTGTGCTGTAGTTCTGACTCTTCCTCTTGAAACATCGTGACTACACGTGTGGGTGGGTGCACCATATAGGTTATTAGAAACACACCCATTTACTATCATGGCTGTTGATGTTTAAACAGGTCAAAGAAGGTGCTAAACAAACTGTGAAAGACTTCTACGCGCACATATCACTAGCAGCATAGGGCAGTTAGACACTCTCCCCTCCTCCTTATCCACTCTTGATGTATACTAATCTCACCTATGGGAGAAAGGTCTGGCACACTGCTTAATATACTTTGGTTCTTATGTCCAGACATAAATTAAGTTTCACATGTGACCAAAAGTCACATAAAAATTTTGATTATTAAAATGGTGTCTCCAGAAAAAATGTGGAAAAGTGCTGAAGAAAAAAGCTAAAGTGGTAGCATCAAGCATCTTTGTAAAATGGGCCATTTGGTTAAATTTTATTGTTGCTCTACATATATAAATGGTATTGGTTCAATTGCACTGGACCCATTAATTAGCACAAAAGTTTTTGCTGCATTATACATGTATGTGGCATGGCAATACATGGGTAGGGGCAGTCTTCTACACATGACATTTTCGTTACATCACAACTTGTCAGAACAAAACTACATTAAGCAAAATACCAGACTCTTTCCCGTCATCTACCCCAGTGACTGTAAGTTGGGGAATGGTCTGGTTAGCAAGACGAAAAGAAGCCCTGTTATTTACAGTATCACAACAAAAAAAGAATATTGTTATACTAGTACAAGAAAAGTACCGGTATGCTCTTTGAGGTTTGAAATAAAAAAAGACCAAGATCAACAAAAATTATACTCAACTGTCACTCAGTTTATCACATTTTAAATACCCAACAGTCACATGATTAGACTAATGAAACATTAAATCAACATCACTTACGCATGTTCCTCCCAATGGCCCATGTTCTATTATAGCAACTTTTGCACCTAAAGCCCCAGCTTTCTTGGCGCTAGCAATTCCTCCCGATCCAGCACCTATCACGAGATAATCAAATGATCTTGAAATAACCCTGGAAGCTGCCATTGTTAAGTACTACTAACGTTATTATGTTATTTACGATCATTGATTACATGTTATACAAGTTCCATTGACCTCGCCCTTTAATGAATAAAATCATGTATACTATATCCCAGTTGAGTTTGGGACAAGAAAAACTGGAATAACTTTTTATAGGAATGTGGAATAAGGATGAAACTTTCACAGGTTCTTAGTCGCCAAAGTCCATCAAAATCTGTGAAATCTTGGGTCCCTCAGCTCTTGGGAATCCTGAAAACCAGGTTCTCCCTATAAACCCAATGGCATACCAAAATGACGTTTTATGACAATTTATCTACGTCATAGTTTACATAAGAACATGTGGTCGAGCGCCCAAACTGATAATTCTTGTTTTAAAAAGCTAACAGAGCAAGATCTTCTGATAATGATGGCCTTTATGAAGACTAGTTGACTCCAGTAGCTATTGTACTGCTTATCAGGAAGAGCAAGACTGTTTTAAGAGTGAAACAACACAGCCGCCATACTTCTATGAATATCATTAAAATACTTCATTTTTGTGACGTAATTACATTTTTCAAATTCCACGCAGCTGCTTCCACTTCCGGCCCAAACTGAACTGGGATATAGTATAGCAGCAACAACAAAAATAGATAAATCAATTACAGTTATTTCTAATTAATTTTCCCAAGGCAATAAAACTATTTTTATAGATTCAGCACTTTTGTTGACTAGTTCAATTCCTTTCAAAAATTCTTTCATTGGTAGCCTGTGAGTTATTATATCCTAAACAAAAGTATAATTACTGTTAACAAATTTAATTCAAATTAAATACCTCTAGTGGTATTTGATCATTTTCAATCATTCTTATAGCAACAGGATATGTATAAGGGCTGCAATGACCACCTCTTATTGTCAATTCTGTTCAAAAAAGAGGTAAAACATTCATAACATATCTCCAATATTAACAACCTTTTGCATCAGATATAACAGTCCAATCAACAGTAGTTTCTTTACCAAACACACTATACTCCACAAAAGTTCCTTGTCTAGCAATCATCTGTAATCTGTATAGTAAAAAAACACAATATTTACTAAAATACCATTAACAGCTTATACTTACCCTTGTTTCACTGAAGCAGGATTTCCAGTTGCTTCAATGTATACATCACATCCATATCCATCAGTCAGTTTTTTAACATTTTCAATTGCATTGCAAGTAGCAGGATTAAGGGTCACATCCGCTCCACACTTTTTAGCAATATCCAGCTATACAAGATTATGGATCAAAAATCACATGTACATGTACGTAGCTCAAAGAGGTGAATAATATATTTCACAAAAATACTACAAATTCTGTGAATCACAATGACACTTATTTGTTCATGCTCCACTGGAGTTTTTTTTTGCTTAAACTTCACAATTTTTTAGATCAAACAACAAAAAATGAGTTATTAACATGCATACCTTCCAATCATAGAGGTCCATAGCAATCAACAACTTTGGACATTTCAATTTAGCTGCAGCAATCATGCCTAAACCTAATGGTCCACAACCAGAAACCACCACAACATCATCAAACTCAATTTTGCCAAGTTCAACTGCATGTACAGAGCATGCTAATGGCTCAATAAAAGCAGCTTTCCAAGGTGGAATGGATTTGGATATCTACTTATAATTTTAATTTTGTCATTTAGGCATACCAGAAGAATTACCTTATGATTAATAGCTTTGCTGGGATACTTCATGTACTGACACATTGCACCTATAAGTTATTATTATTATTAATCATGAGATTTCATTGTCTTACCAAATGAATTTTGATGAAAACCATATACATCGTGAGGAATACCTAAACAATTATTAAAGGAGCAGCACTATATCGTACTCTACTTACACATGTTGTAGCTTCCTCTTTTACAATAGCGACACTCCCAACAAGGAACAATGTTTTCAGATACAGCATAATCACCTACTTCCAAATTATGCTTTGCCTTTGCATCTATAAAATAATTATTTTACTCATATAGTTATACTTCATCATACTTAGGAGCTACTCTTAGTTACACATTTTAGCTCCAAAATAAAACAGCAGTCTACACCTATTGCATGTAAATTAACTCATTAATTCTTAGTGTTTAAAAAAATCAGGAAACTTAATTTAAACATACAAACAAAATTGTGAACTATTAAAATTAAAATCAATACTTTTATGTTATTTGATTATTATACATATCGTTAAAACACTAATATACTATTGGCCATATTGGAGGGCAACTGGAGCATAAAAGTAATCAAGTTTTAATGGAATCTTTAGTGTGGTAAACCCATCATCGAAAAGAAATGCATGATTAATCATACTGAACATAAAATTAATATTTTAAGTTTGAAAAGTAAGTTAGCAACACTTTTTATAGTCGCACCAATTGCCATAAATCATTTGGTCATGCACTTATTTCCAATATTTTTATAGCTACATTAACAAAAGCAGTACATTAGAGTAGTGACTTCTTTATTTACAAGTGAGAAGATTCATGCAATCCATTTATACATGTACATGTACAGGTTTAAACAGGGGCGTATCTAGAAATTTGGAAAGGGGGATGCTGGAGTACAGAAATGGACAGGATTGGTAATGAGGGGCGCGCGAAGCGCACTGCGATTTTGACCACATCCATTTTACGGCAGTAAAACGGCGTTTTCGTTCATTTTCGTCAATTACGGGTGGGGTCAGGATAATTTCAAGCACACTGGTACTTCTGATCACTTGTTAAAGCACTGGAAACTGCTGAAATCATAATCAGGGGGCTAGATAACTTTATGAAGAGGCTTGGTAGTGATGCAAGAGTCCAGAACTTCAGTAATTTTTTTCTGAGCCCAGCCATAAGGGGGGTGCTCAAGCACCCTCAGCACCCCCCCTGGATACGCCCCTGTTTAAATGCCTATGAAATACAGTACAGGGGTATAGAATTTAATTTAGGCATGTGGGTATGGCTGAAAGTGGATGAGGTTGGCCTTGAAATGCAAGTTTGATTATCTGATTTAAATTAAAAATTCCTACCATCCGTCACGCTTTAGGTCAATGATCACCTTCTGAATTGCCCCTGTTGCCGCCTTTGACAAAATGTGCAAACTCAGTACACAAGCCCAAAGCCAGGAGGCTCATTCAAACTACCTTCAGATCAGAGAATCTTAGCAAAAGCCATAGTTGCAGCAGTGCCTCACAATCTCTAAATTGCAACACCAAAAATGAACTCCCTCTTTTCAAACCATGGCTAAACAACACCCTTGACACCAAAGCGGCAATAAAAAATTTTCATGCAATTATTCATAGATTTATAGCTAAGTTGACATACCTTTACCAAGCTTGACTACCTCCCCAACAAATTCATGTCCAGGGATTACAGGTGGCTGAACATATTGAGGCCAAGTGTCACTACCTATTCTTGCTTAAATTATTGAATTCTACTAAAACAGCTTACCCCAAAAATAAGGTGCTCCAGAAAAACATTTAGCATCTCCAGCACAAATTCCAACAGCCAGTACTTTCACCAATACTTCGTCATCTCCAATGACAGGAATGGGGCGTGTCTCCATGCGATAGTCGTCTATAAATCAGCTATAATCCTTATTGCTTAAGAGCCATTGCCTTAAACCTACTTGGACCATAGCATACTACGCACTGCATCACAGAAGGAAGTGCACCATCACCCTTAGAACTCATCATAACAACTAGCCAAGTCCAAAGTCTTAACTCCAATTATAAATTAAATTTAAAAGAAAATGCCACACCTCTACAATAATGTGAATTGAAATTACAAAGATTCGAGTTATTCATGACTGTGCTTCATTATCCTTTTTCATGCCTGCCATTTGCTTCTTCTGCTTTTTTGTCATTGGTTCATCAATAGGTGCAGCTTGAACAAATTTAATAAATTCCTTGTATGCTAAAAATAAATATATTCCTGACACAAACATTTCTTAAAATGACAAAATATACCTGGAGGCATGTATTGACGTAAAATTTCAGGGACTACAACACCTTCTTCAGTTTGATTATTTTCCAAAATAGCACAAATGGTACGAGTTGTTGCACACATTGTAGCATTAAGCATATGGACATAATCAGCCTGTAAAGATAACTTTATAATCATAATTGCATATTTCAGAATTACTTGTGCATTCATCTTTTTTGTTAGACCAAAACGAACTTGAAGCCTTCTCGCTTGATAGTCCAAGCAGTTAGAACAGCTAACTAATTCTCGATAGGCTCCAGATCCAGGAAACCATCCCTCCAAATCATACTTCATAGCTGCAGCAAGATTTAACTCACCTAAATGCATGTAAATGCATAAAACACTTAATATAAGTAATATCTTAAAAGTGAAACAAACCAGAAACTATATTAACAACTCGATAAGGAATGCCAAGCTGCTGGTAAAAAAATTCTGCATTTGAAATCATCTCATCAAACATCTTCCAAGAAACATCATCATGAGGACTAGTTAAACAGAATTGTTCAACCTACAACAATGATACATGTACACTCACATCAAAACAAGATTACTCCTGATAATAACATTCTCATGATGCCTGCAGCAGCATGCACCAATCAGTGTCATCATAGGTATACTTTCTTCATTTTATTTATCAATTAGAGCAGAGAATTTTTGCAAGAGCATTGAAATCAGTGCCCGGCAGCTCTCCAAAAAACAAATGCACTACTTCTAGTAATAAAAATGAGTGTATACACTGTACAGTACATGTAATACTTTCAAACACTTAAACAGTTATTATGGTCATGAAATTGTAAAATGTACCAGTACCTTTTGGAACTGATGCACTCTGAATATTCCTCTTGTGTCCCTACCATGAGAACCAACTTCTTGACGGAAACAAGATGACAGTCCAGCATATCGCAAAGGCAATGTTTGAGGATCTAACCAGTCACCTCTATAAAATAATACTAACATTAAACAGTTACTATCAAATACATATATCCTTATCATAAGTTCACAACCTATGAAAAGCTGCAATTGGTTGTTCACTAGTTGCAATAAGATACTTTTCTTCCACATTACTGTCATCCACAATTTCAGAGCTCTTGCTAATAACCTAAATATTTATACAAAAATATGCAATTACGAAACTATAATTGTTAACCTTGTAAAGCATCTCATCAAAATCACTTAATTGAGCCACTTCTTGCATTACTTCTTTCTTCATAAAAAATGGTGTATACAAAGGAACAAAACTTTTTTCTGACAGAGTGGACAATGCAAACTGTATTAAAGCTTGCTCTAAAAACACCAATGGCCCCTTCAAGTAATAGCAACGATTTCCTGCCACAGTTGTGCCTCTTTGCATATCCACACCATCCACCATCACAACCAAATCCATATGAGAGTACTTTTTACGAATAGATGCATCACCAAAT